TGTTCTGTCTCCCTGTAGTCAGTCCTCTCCTTCAGTCCCTGCTGATCACTAATGTTTTCTTGCTACTGTAGGTTTGCCTTTTCTAAATATTGCATAGACAGAACCATACAATAGGTAGTCAATAAGTAGTCTTTTGAGTCTGGCTTTTTTTTTTTTTATTTTAACTTACCATAATACTCTTGAGATTCATCCATGTTGTTTGTATCAGCAGTTCATTTCTTCTTACTGTGAGTCTATAGCATTGTATAGATATATTACAATTTGCTTCTCCATTTACCATTTGATGGCAATCTAGACTGTTTCTAATTTGGAGCTCTCATGAATTAAAGTGCTTTAAAAATTCCAGTGCAAGTCTTTGTGTGACAGTAGGTTTTGATTCTTCTTTGGTAAATGAATGGGATGCTATGTTGTGTGTAAGTATATGTTTGACATTATAAAAAACTGCTAAACCGCTTTCCCAAAATGGCTACACTATTTTGCATTCTTTCAACAACAGTTCTGTGTTCTGGTTGCTCCACATCTTTGCCAACATTTGGTATTATCAGTCTCAAATTTTGACTGTTGTAATGAATGCCTGTTGGTATGTCCTTGGGATTTTAATTTACATTTTCCTGTGAATTAACGAAGTTGGGTATCTTTTTTTTTTTTTTTTTTTTGCTTATCTGCCTTTTGTGTATCTTTTTAAATGAAATGTTTATTCAAATCATTTACCCATTTAAAAAATCACGTTGCTTTGTTATTGCATTGTAAGAGTTTGTTTTGTTTTATTTTTAAATATTCCGGGTAGGAGTTCTTAGCAGATAACTGTTTTATAAATATTTTCCTTCAGTTTTTAGTTTGCCTTTTTGTTTTCCTAACAATGGCTTTTGAGGAGTAAAAGTTTTTAAGGTTGACAAATTTTTTTTTTTCATGTTTTAAAAAATGTAGTATTGGCCGGGCGCGGTGGCTCAAGCCTGTAATCCCAGCACTTTGGGAGGCCGAGGCGGGTGGATCACGAGGTCAGGAGATCAAGACTATCCTGGCTAACATGGTGAAACCCCGTCTCTACTAAAAATACAAAAAACTAGCCGGGCGTGGTGGCGGGTGCCTGTAGTCTCAGCTACTTGGGAGGCTGAGGCGGGAGAATGGCGTGAACCCGGGAGGCGGAGCTTGCAGTGAGCCGAGATCACGCCACTGCACTCCAGCCTGGGAGACACAGCGAGACTCCGTCTCAAAAAAAAAAAAAAAAAAAAAAATGTAGTATTTAAGAAATCTTGTGTAACTCAAGGTCCCATAAAAGTGTTTCACTCCATCTTCTTTAGGAGTTTTTTAGTTTTAGGTTGAACATTTAGATATATAATCTATTCTGAGTTCATTTTTATAGGTGGTAAGGTTTGGGGTAAGATTTTAGATCTTGGGGAGTTTTGTTTGTTTACATATTTATATCCAGTTGTTATAGCATCATTTGTTCATAAGACTATTTTTTCCTCATTAAAATATCTTGGCATCTTTGTCAAAATCAGTGGGCCATATCTGTGAAGGTCTGTTTGTGGATTCTCTCTTCTCTGACATTGATTTATATGTCTGCCTTTTAATATCAGGCAGGTTTGGTTAGTGCAGCTTTTATAGTAAGTCTTGAAATCATGTAGTGATCAATTTGAGGACAATTAACAACTGTATTAAGTCTTCTGATCTGTAAACATGGTGTGTCTGTATTTATTTAAGTCTGCTTTAATTTTTTCTCAATACTGTTTTATAAAGGTTTCAGAGTATGAGTCTTACTCATATTTTCTTAAAATTATCCCTAATTATTTTGTATTTATTGAGGTTTTTGTAAATGGTACTGCTTTTACTTTTAATTTCAATTTCTAATTGCTCTTTGCTAGTATAAAGATCTAGCATTGCTTTTTTTAATGTTGCTTTGTCTCTGGCAGCCTTGATTTTATTAATACATTATTTATTCCAGTATTTTTATAGATTCCTTAGCATTTTCTGCATAGGCAGTCACGCCATTTGTCAATAAACCAAGTTTGACTTCTTCCTTTCCAATGATATGCGTTTTCTTTCTTTTTCTGCTTTACTGCACTGGCTAGGACCTTCGGAATATTGTTGAATAGAAGTGATGAGAATGGATATCTTTGGTTACTGATCTCAGAATGAAAGCATTTAGTCTTTCACCAATAAATATAATGTTAACCGTAGGTTTTTTATAGATGCCTTTGTCAGTTTGAGTAATTTCCTTTCTCTTCCTAGTGTTCTGAGAGTTTTTTATCATGAATAGGTGTTGAATTTTGCTGATTTTTTTTTTCCTTTGAGATAGATTCTTGCTTTGTTGCCCAGACTGGTGTTCCGTGGCACAATCACGGCTCACTGCAACCTCTGCCTCGTGGGTTCCGGTGATTCTCATGCCTCAGGCTCCCTAGTAGCTGGGATTACAGAGACCCACCACCACACCTGGCTAATTTTTGTATTTTTAGTAGAGACGTGGCTTCACCATGTTGGCCAGGCTGATCTTGAACTCCTGACCTGAAGTGATCCGCCTGCCTCGGCCTCCCAAAGTGCTGGGATTACAGGCTTGAGCTACCGCTCCCAGCCCCAGATTCTTTCGATCTAATGATGATCATTAGTTCATGAGTTTTTTGGTCTGTTAATAAACTGATTTTTCAAGTGCTAAACCAACCTTACATTCCTGGGATATTGCTGGATTCCATTAACTTAAAATTTTGTTAAGGTTTTTTGCATCTATATTCCTGAGGAATATTGATCTGTAGTTTTCTTATATCTGTCTGGTTTTGATTTCAGAGTAATGCTAGGCTCATAAAATGAGCTGCATTGTAAATACTTGTGTTTACTGTAAGAGCTTGTGTAGAGTTGACATTTCTTAAGTGTTTGGTGGCATTCACCACTGAAGTCATCTAGGCCTGAAGTTTTCCTTGTCATAAAGTTTTAAACTATGGATTCAATTGCTTTAATAGAATAAGGCTATTTAGATTATCTGTGTTTTCTTGAGTGCATTTTGATAGTTTGTATAGTGTCATGGAATGCTACTATTTCATCCAACTTGATGAATTTATTGCAGTAATGTTCATAATATTGCTTTATTTTTTCAGTATCTATAGGATCTGTAATGGTGTCGTTCTGTAATTCCTGATTTCTGTCATTTGTAGCTTTTCTTTTTTGATTAGCCTCGCCAGAGTTGTATTGATATTATTGACCCTTTTAAGGAACCAGCTTTTGGTTTCATTGATTTTATTGTTCTTCTGTTTTCTATTTCATTGATTTCTGTTCTTTATTTTCTTTATCCTGCTTGCTTTGGGTTAATTTACTCCTCTTTTTCTAGTTTCGTAAGGTAGAAGTTTAGATCACTGATTTGAAACCTTGTGTTCTAATATAGGCATGTAGTGTTATAAATATTGCTGTTAGCACTGCTTTAGTTCTATCCACAAATTTTTATATGTGGTGTTATAGTTTTTATTCAATTCAGAATATTTTCTTATTTTTCTTAATATACTTTGATTCATTGGGTTATTTAGAAGTGTTTATTTATTTTTTTTAAATTTTTTTATCTCTGTCTCCCAGGCTGAAGTGCAGTGGCGCGATCTCCACTCACTGCAAGCTCTGCCTCCCGGGTTCATGCCATTCTTCTGCCTCAGCCTCCTGAATAGCTGGGACTACAGGCGCCCGCCACCATGCCCAGCTAATTTTTTATATATATTTTTAGTAGAGACTGGATTTCATCATGTTAGCCAGGATGGTCTTGGTATCCTGACCTTGTGATCCGCCTGTCTCGGCCTCCCAAAGTGCTGGGATTACAGGCGTGAGTCACCGCGCCCAGCCTATTTAGAAGTTTTTAAAATTTTTTTTCAAATATTTGAGTTTTTTCCAATCTTTTGTTTTGGATTTCTGATTTAATACTGTTGTGATCACAGAGCATACTTTTTATTTTAATTTTCTTATATTTGAGACTTGTTTTGTGCTACAGAATATGTTTGTTTTATTTGAGGTTTGTTTTATGTGATAGAATATGAACATTCCAAGTGCACTTGAGAAGAATGTGTCTTATGCTGTTATTGGATGGAGTGTTCTATATTGTGTTAGGTCAAATTGATTGAGGTTTTTCAGGTTTTCTCTATCTTGCTGATTTTGTTTCTATTTGTTTTATCAATAAACTAAGAGAGGAGTATTGAAATCTTCAATGGTAATTTTAAAATTTTAAAATGGAATCAAAGTAGAGAATTGTAATGTTAAGATGGTTGGGAGGTGTAAAGGCTATATTTAAATTTTTTTTTAATTTGTGGGGAGGGGGTAAGTTTTTGCTTTTTAGAGTAATACAGACTTGGCATTCCAATACCAGTCCTGCTATTTATTACTTCAGCTACCCCTCTGAGCCTTTTTTTTTTTTTTTTTTTTTTTTTTTTTTTGAGATGGCGTCTTGCTCTGTCATCCGGGCTGGAGGACAGTGACGCGATCTCGGCTCACTGAAACATCTGCCTCCCGGGTTTAAGCAATTCTTGTGCCTCAGCCTCCTGAGTGGCTGGGATTTTAGGCATGTACCACACCATGCGTAGGTAATTTTTGTATTTTAGTAGACATGGGGTTTCGCCATGTTGGCCAGACTTGTCTTGAACTCCTGGCCTCAAGCAGTCCACCTCAGCCTCCCAAAGTGTTGAGATTACAGGCATGAGCCACACCAAATATGTATTTTAATGTTTAGTCAATTTCATATGTTAACTTTTTTTATTTTACCCTTGGCCTACACTATGGCCTTCATCTTTGTGTATCTTTTCCTCTTACTTTTGTATGCCTAATTTTTATTGACAATGACAACCTCTTTAGAGCCTTGAGTATAGATTGCTGTGGTTATAGTGTGAAAAAAATTTTTTTTCCCTTGACATAAGTTTGCTCACCCTGTATTAAATAAAAAGATAGGAATGTTGGTACAGTCGACATAATTTTGGCACCTATAAAATTATCTCACATTACTTCAATGACTGAAACACAGTGTTTTCCTTTTCTTTCAGATAAACCGAGAAAACTGGTGTACAATAGAGCCATGCCCTGATGCAGCATCTCTTTTGGCTTCCAAGCAGAGCCCAGGTAAGCTGAGATTGTCCATTCATTTTCTGGAGCTGCAGGCCCACTCTAACAGATCGTTTTATTTGGAGATCTGCCCTTCCTTAGCATATTATACAGTAAATCAGAGGAAGGGATATATGTGATTTGGCTTTGTAGGCATTTTGTCTTACAGTTGAAGATGAGCACATGTAATTACCTGGATTTTATTTTGCTGGTAACGGACATCATAGGTGGCTTTATGATTCATTCATTTGTGAAGGCATCTGTGCTGTGCATATACATATGACATAGGTTTTTTAATCTGGCAAAAGTATAAATCTACTGTTAAGAACCAAACCTGAGGTTCTCAATTTTGACTGCACATTGGAATTATCTGGCTGAGCAAGCTTTAAAAATATACACATGCCTGGGTCTTACCTCCAGATATTCTGATTTAGTTGGGTGGGGTGTGGCCTAGATACCAAAATCTTTATAAGCTCCTTTAGTTACCCTACTGTGTACCCAAGGTTGAGACCATTACACTTTGGATGCATGGTCAGGAATTAAGTCTTTCCTTAAGTATCTTTGAGTTATTTCTAACAACACTTGAGGGTACAATGCTCTTAAGACCTTGCTTGTTAATGACATAGCACATGGCTTGTGGTTAGTTAGGATTCCCAACTTTTAATCCAGGTCCAGCCTCTAACTCTGTGTGACGTAAAGTATGTTCCCTAATGTCTGTGTGCTACATTGTCTCCCTCCCATCTGTAAAGTATTAGTAGCTTGTCTCATTTTGAGGGTGTAGTACGGATGACATGATGAGTAATCCCTGTGCCTGTTCCTATGGCTGCTAAGTGAATACTAGTAATTTGCATTCTGAGTTTTTTTAGTCTGTTTTACCCAACAAGCCTCTGTTTGCCTTCCCAATTTTTACTGCCCAGCTTTAAAAATTACCTAGTCTTCATTTGCAGGTCTTTTTAGAAATAGTTTACGTGTAGATACCCTCCAGTAGTGTTAAATTTAGAAACAAATTGTTTTGAATCCTCTAACTCCAGAGCAGTTTCCTACTGATTCTCAACTCTCTGACTTTACTACAAAGGAAATAATTGAAAACAAATATGGAAAGTGTTTTTCTCTATTTTTGTCTCATTTTTTGAGAGTAGTTAAGGATATTATGCTATAGTCGTGTTCAGGGTCCAAGTTTTACAAGATTGGCCCCGTTGACAGATTTAGCTGACACTTCCCCCATGTAGCCTCCTAGAACCTTCTACTTAAACGTCTACCACTTACTACTGTGTTTTGGTTCCTTAAACTGTTTGGGGCTTTTTCTAAAAGTGTAATTACAACCACCCAAGAGTGGAACTTTCTGCCAAGTAAAGGTTAAATGAGGTTGCTCACGGTTTGAATATTCATAGGAAGGAAAGATCTCCACACATCATAGTTTAATTTCTATATTTAGAGAAATGATTTTTGAACCCCTGGACATTTTCCCCAGGACACAATTTTGAATTCTGTAGACCTACTGTACACGCTAACCCCGAGCATAAGCAATTTAGTCTTTTTAAAGTAATTATTTTAAAATCTCAATTTAACAAAGTTGCAGATCAGAATTATGCCACTCAGCTTCAGACCTGAGATTTTGATTTTAGGCATAGTGTTTTTGTGAATCCTAGGTACTTTGTTTTGCAGGTTTCTCTATTTTACTTCATAAACACTTCCTCAAGAGAGCAATAGCATTAGACCAAATAAGATACTGTCTTTTGGCCGGGCGAGGTGGCTCATGCCTGTAATCCCAACACTTGGGGAGGCTGAGGCAGGCAGATCACAAGATCAGGAGTTCGAGACCAGCCTGGCCAATATGGTGAAACCCCTGTCTCTACTAAAAATACAAAAATTAGCCAGGTGTGGCGGCACACGCCTGTAGCCCCAGCTACTCAGGAGGCTGAGGCAGAAGAGTCACTTGAACCCAGGAGGCGGAGGTTGCAGTGAGCCGAGATCCAGCCTGGGCGACAGAGCAAGACTCCGTCTCAAATAAATAAATAAATAAATAACAGGTTTTTTTTTTTTTTGAGACAGAGTCTCGCCCTGTTCCCCAGGCTGGAGTGCAGTGGCATGGTCTCGGCCCACTGCAAGCTCCGCCTCCCGGGTTCACACCATTCTCTTGCCTTAGCCTCCCAAGTAGCTGGGACTACAAGTGCCCACCACCACACCCAGCTAATTTTTTTGTATTTTTAGTAGAGACGGGGTTTCACTGTGTTAGCCAGGATGGTCTCAATCTCCTGACCTCGTGATCCCTCCGCCTCGTCCGCCCAAAGTTCTGGGATTATAGGCATGAGCCACCGCGCCTAGCCAAGATACTACCGTCTTTTAAAATCACTTTGTATACTCTTTAGTAATGGACAAATTACAAGATAGAATTATGATTAGTATGACATAACAGAGCCCACAGGATGTCAGCAGTGTGTTTTCCTGTCCTTCCCCAATAACAGTTTGTTGGCATTTATGTCGTTTTAAACCCAAATGACTAGTTAACACCTTCTAAAAAGTTTGTATTCTAAAAAGCTAATAGCTCAGTACACAAAAATTATAGACAAATTTACATATGGGTCATAAAATGGGACTGGCCCTGCCTGTGCCCATCTTTAAGGTACTGTCATCTGGATACTTACTGAATCATACATTAAATGTTAATGAAGCCTTAACTTCATTAGACACATACATCACACACCTGCTATGTGGTGGAAACCAGAGTTCTGGTTACTCTATGTATAAATTATTCGTGTCACTGTGACTCCTTTAGGGAAGTACGATCATCTCTTGTCACTGTTATGGAAATGGCAACTGAGAGGGGTGAAATTACTTCTTGCCTGGAATTTTTCTTCTGTTAAGTAGTCAGACCTAGATTTAAGCCTGATGAGTCTAACTCGAAAAGCAGAGATCTTTACTCTTGTTTACACTTAGATATGCTGCTCCCCTTTATTCAGTAGGAAGGGAACATATAGAAGGAAAGAAAAGATTTTATTAATTTTGAAAACTTAGCAATACATGTGACACAGGGTGTGGATTAGCTCTGCCTTTAGGGATTCCCCCCACCTCCCCCCGCCCCATGACACGGGGGGGTTATAATGGTTTATGGTCCCTCTCTCTCCATCTTGGTCCTTCTTTCTGTACTTTTCTCTCTTCCCCTCCTCAACAATCAGCTTTATGTCACAGAGCAGACTCTCATCCCAAACTTGGTTTGTTACCCCTTGTAGTGCTGGCTTGAATTTATTTTCTGGGTGAGGTATTCCTACCAGGGCTGAATCTGGATCTTCCCTGTGAATTTTCCATTCGAATATCATGAGCTAGTTTGTTTTCCAGTCTGGAATTTGGACGTGGTCTGTTAGAGGGCCAGCTGGACAGCGAGCAGCTCAGTGTAGTTGCTGTGACAGCCCTTTCTTTTCTTGGCCAGCCCCCCTATTTTCCCTCAATCACGGAAAGGCGTTTTTTTTTATTTTTTCAGGCAGGGAAAGGAGAAGGAGTAGATCACACCCACTAGCTCCTCTTAGGTTACTACATACTCTAGGAAATGTGAAAAAAATTCTCCAGAATACCCATAGTTTCCAGTCGGCTAAAGGCAGGGCTGTTCCCATTGAACTAACACTCTCCGAAATAGTTTGAACCAAGACTGAAACAGACTAAGGTGATTTTTTTTAACTGAAAGATTTTCAGATTCATCCATGAGCCCTGTCTCACTTCCTATGGCATTTTTTTGTATAATTCTTCGTTGAAATTGTCTTCTAGTATGTTTATTTCTGCCACAAGACAGTAAACTGCCTCCCCCCCAACATTAAACATTTCTTTTTATTTGGATACTCCCCAGTATTTAGCCAGATGCTTAACTAGTAGAAAAAAATCATTTGATTGACAAGCGATTTATGACCTGTAGCAATGCAGTGCATCCTTGACCCTTGCTCTAAGCTACCAGGGCAGATAATTCAGTGATTATCACTAATTAATTGTTCATTAGAACAGCTATTTCTTCCCAGTTTCAACACACAGAGACAACATAATTATCTAAGCATAGAATCTAATAATCGAAGGAGACACTGGAAGTTATCTAGTCCAGCCCTCACTTCCCTCTCTGTGCAGATACCTTTTCTGTAATATCTTGACATAGTCATTCTCTGTTCCAGAACCCTTCTGGTAAAGTGATAGTCACTACTTTATGGGGCACCCAACCTATTGCCAAGAAGCCCCGTTTTAGTGAAGCTCTGTAGCTCACACTCACTGGTCTTTGTTCTGCCCCTGGAACAGCACAGAGGGAATCTGTGACCGTCTTTAGGCACATTTTCTTCAAGCTCCTCAGTAAGCTGAATGTATCTCAAATGTTTTGACTGTCGTGACCCCGTTACTACGTACACATTTTTGTTTATCAGTGTTCTACTTTAGATGTTATTTAGGAACAAGTACAATCCCGAAGGTGTGGTCTGGATGGCACATAGTGACAGGACTGTTCCCGTTTTGGATGCCAGTGTACTATTTACTAATAGAGACTAAAACTATTAGTGTTTCTTTGGTTTTGTCATCACCTTGTACTGTCAGTTCCTCTTGAATTTGCTTCCCCCAAAACCTCCAAGTAGAGTTCTCTTTAACTCCTAGATAGCCAGGTTTCCTGCCCTGTCCCTCATCACTTAGTGTCACCTACAGATTTAATAAAGCATGCCTACCTGGTTGTCCAGATAACACATTAACTTGCTTGCAAAAACAGAGATGCATGACTTTTATCTTTTTTTTTTTTTTTT